TAGAATATATGCAATGGATGAGAATAAGGAGTAACTGTTCTGCTCCGTTTGGTAGGGAGAATGGAAACTAAGAAGGATGAAAAGTAAGAGGGAGGAAGGATACATTTTTCTTCCTTTGTGTTTGATTGGATGAATGGAAATAAAAATGACTATTTTTTTTTTGTGCTAGTTAAGATTAGAGGTGACAATCTAGTTGTGTCGTGTCAGATTTGTGTTGAGTAATTACGGATTTATGTCGAATATTAGTCAAACCTAACTTAATCCATTTAACTAATTGTGTCGTGTTGCGAGTTAACTTATTTATTTTCGTATCGAGTTGGAGTCGTGTCATTGTGTTGAGTCGAAAATTCACCCTTAGTTAAGATAGAAAAAATATTTTTTTTAATTTAAATTTTTTTATTTTTTTTATTTTTAAAATATATATATATATATATATATATATATATATATATATATATATATATATATATATTATGTATACATTAATTTCATATAAAAATATAATGGTAAAATATATTTTCATATAAAAATATATTTTTATATGAAATTAATGTATACATAATATATATATTCATATAATGTATATAATATATATATATATATATATATATATATATATATATATATATATATATATTTTAAAAATAAAAAAAATAAAAAAATTTAAATTAAAAAAAATATTTTTTCTATCTTAACTAAGGGTGAATTTTCGACTCAACACAATGACACGACTCCAACTCGATACGAAAATAAATAAGTTAACTCGCAACACGACACAATTAGTTAAATGGATTAAGTTAGGTTTGACTAATATTCGACATAAATCCGTAATTACTCAACACAAATCTGACACGACACAACTAGATTGTCACCTCTAATCTTAACTAGCACAAAAAAAAAATAGTCATTTTTATTTCCATTCATCCAATCAAACACAAAGGAAGAAAAATGTATCCTTCCTCCCTCTTACTTTTCATCCTTCTTAGTTTCCATTCTCCCTACCAAACGGAGCAGAACAGTTACTCCTTATTCTCATCCATTGCATATATTCTACCTCTATCTAACACCTCTCCGTTTGGTGTGTCGATTTTTTCTATATTTTTTTATTTCCTAGAAACACTTCAACACCACTTGAAATTGGTTTTAGGTTTTGAGAGTGAACTGTGGAGTGGGTGGCATAGAACCCATAAGACAATAATTAGAGAATGTTGCATTAGACAGATTCTGTGATAAAATAAATTCAATTTTACATTGAGGTCTGTGGTGTGGGTGTTAAAATTCATCTTTGCTTTCATGCACAGAATCGTCTAATTGCAGTGCGTATGTGTGCATTTGTGTGTGGTCGCTACTGGGTTTTATGTGAGTAAATCAATGGGTTGTGGATGATTAGAAAAAAAAAAAAAAGAAAAAAGAATCACTGGGTTATGTGTGAGAGAGAGAGAGAGAGTCGCAGGACAAAACTGGGATGGACGAGAAAAAATTAGCAAAGGACCCACCACAGCCTCTACGGGCTATCTTGACTGGCTGCCCATCAATCAGTTGGTTTAAGGGTAAGCCGGATAGAATTAAATCCTTATCAAGGTATTTCTTTATTGCAATACTCACCAAGAACAGACCCACTTAAGTGTTTGAAGATCACAAATAAAAAAATAAGAAGACAAATTCAAGGACAACACAAAATAGATCACAGAAATATTGCTTCTCTATTCTAATCCAAGCTTCTTTCTAGTCCCCAAGACACGGTCATAGATCCTGTGAGAATCAGGAAGAGACTTGGCCACGCTTTCCTTCTTCATGCACCTTTTGGCCCAAGCAATTAACTTGGAGCACTCAGCCTCTATACTGAATTTGCCAATTGCCAAGTATCTCGTAGACATAAAACCAGCTGTAAAATCCAATGAGAGCAATGCCGACTGATGATACCTTGAATATGCCTAAGGTTGAGCTCGATAATTTGAGTCGTGCTCCCCTAGATCGGGAGCCCAGTTCGCTTTGGATGCCTATGGAGCTCAAGTTCAGACCTCTCCCAACAGCTACATCTCAATGAGGGCTGCATAGAAGATAGTTGGCTTCCACCAAGCACTACCTCGATAGTAACAGTCACATATCCAGGCAAAATAATTACAATTGCCCAACACTTTCACAACTGTTGCAAGATACTAGCAACTGTTACAAAGAGGAGCAAGGATCACGCCGAGAATCAAGCAAGGCAAAGCTCAAGGTCAACTATAAATAAGGGGCATATCCCCCAGCAATACAGATAAGCCATTGTAGCTAAAACAAGAATTCTGTAATCTCTTTTCTTATCAATATAAGAACCAGGAGCAAGAGACTCCGTTGAGAGTGGATTAACCGAGCTCCCGAGCTGGTGGACCACTATAAACTCTTCGAGTGTTAACTCTCACCCCCTTCTCCCAAATCTTAAAGAGCCTAAGAGCGCAAGTTGAATAACTCAGTGATCATCAAATTTATATCTCTGCTCATTTGTGTCACTTACACCATCATCAACAAACCCAAAGGTATCACCTCCAAAGTAAGGCTTGTTTTCAAGCTCTCTCTCTAGCAACTTCAGGTGGCCTATAAATTCCTTCTTGGCTGCCTCCGGATCTTCTCCTTTTGAGGTCCAAAACCTCTTTCCCAGCATCATACATCTACATTCCATAGTCCCATTACAACAAACAAGAAAGACTATAAAGTTTTTTTTGGCATTCCAAACCCATAGTGTATGTGAAAATTTTCGGTGCGTATATAAGAGGAGTAAATATTGGTTGTAACGGTTACACCATGTCAACAATGCTGATATGATGTAACCATCCAATAAAAAAATTATAAAATGGATAAAATAAGGCTTACTTTCTATTGTGAAAGTGGTTATGCATTACATAACTGAGTGGTTATGAATTTTTGTAAGACTCACTTGCAGACTTGTTTATTTATTAATGAACTGTTACATTATGTGACATTACTAACGCAGTGTAATAGTTACACCAAATTTTTTTCGTATTCTCACAACACTTATTTGTTGTACCCAAGTTGATTTTTTTCATAAAAAAAAAAAATCTCAACTTGACAAGTAACAAAAATTAATTGAAAATGTACAATATTTTATAGATAATGTACACACCACATGACCGTGTCATCAGCTTACGTGTATGTCGATTAATCTCTTTTCAGTTTAGTTAAAGACAGACTATTCACGCCAAGACTAGGATATTCACGAGGATAAATCACCTAACTCCAAGAGATTGCCCAAATTCGAACTCAGAACATTTGAGTTTATAAAACGTCCATGTTACTAAACTATCCTGGAAGTTAACACCGAATATTTTCACAGTCTAAATAAAGATCTGCTCCCATTATGGCATTTAAACAAATAATTTTTATGGGCCAAGCCCAAGGGCCCAACTAATGTTACAAGCCCAAGGGTCCAACTCCAAGATGTCCAGCTAGCCAAGCTCAAAGAAGTTTGCACCCAGTCAAGCTCATCAGGTTCCAGGAGTTACATCAGTAGAGGAGCATGAAGGGTCATCCCAAGAGTCCCCTCTACCATTTTGGAGTAAGGGTCATCCAAGAGCCTCCTCCTAGCCACTTTGGAGTAAGGGTTATCCCAAGAGCCTCACCTTTGCTGCTTGAAGAGACTCAACCTTCCCTTATCTTTTGACCAAGTCCTTCAGAGAGCATCATAACTTCCTTGCTCGTTGAGGAGAGGAGAGGTCGCCAAGCTATTTAATTACTGTTAAAGTCACCTCAATTCGTTATGACTATTAAACGACCCTAACCCGTTTTGATCGCTAGAGTAGCTATTTAATTACTATACTAAGCCACTATAAATTGTAAGCCCAACCAACACTTGAGGGGCATCTCACTCATTTGAGTATAATTCTATCATCTCCTTCTCAAAGCTTGTAACTTTTTGCTCTCCCTACACATCGGAGTTAATAATATACAAGCGACTCTTGTCATTCAAAATGGACGTAGGTCATATTGATCGAACCACTATAAATCTTGTCTTCTCTCTCACTCTACTTTACTACATTTTATATTACTTAATTGATAGGTGGTGTGCAAACCAATGTTTATAAGTTAGATTATTAATGTACTAATTATCATTGAATTGAAAAAATTATGATCCACTTGAATAATAGCCGTGTATTAAATGTTATTCAATTAAGGAAAATTTTATGGCATTGAAAAAAAATATGGTACTATATCGTAGGTTATAACTTTTTGAGTAAAATATGGGGTTGTTTGGTAATTGTTTTTGTCTCTTGTTTTGTGTTTTTGTTTTTAATTTTTGTCAAAAATGAAAACAAAAATTTGTTTGATAATTATTTTTGTTTTTTGTTTCAACTTAGTTGTCTTGGAAACAGGAAAAAAAAATGGAAACAAAAAAATTGTGTTCCAGGAAACATGAGAAACACGAAACACGCGTTTTTGGATTGAATGAGGTCTCAACTTCGAGTCTTATTAGCCACAAAAGACCACTTCATGTGATGAAGTATAAATATGAGGTCTTTTTTCATTTTCGTTCTCACAAAACACACACAACTCTTCTCTTCCACTCGTAGAAATTCTCTCTCTTCTTTGGAGCTCTCAACAAATCTCTCTTCTCCTCTCTCTCTCAACGACGAAGAAGAAGCTGCCACAGATCGACGAAGAAGAAGCCTCTATCCACAGATCGATGAAGAGCCATCCTCCAGTCACAGATCGAAAAAGCTCTCCCTCGCTATGAAGGTAAGATTGAAAAACCCATTTACTTGTATAGATATATGTATGTATATGTAGATTTGTATATATATGCATAGATCTACATAGATCTATGCATATATGACCCTAATCGTAATTTTTTCATAGATATTTGTATTTTTGTTTCACCACAATATACATAGATTTGTATATTTGAATGTCTTTATTTTGTGATCTGTGTGTGTATTGGTTTTGTGAGTGTAATCTGTGTCTGTGTGTGTCTTTTGTGTGTTCGGTGAGTGTGAGCTAAATTCTCACGTTTGTTCAGAGATTTTGTCGATAGTAGAAACATAATCTATTTACCTTGGGGAAAGCACAAACAATCTATATCTACACAGGAATAGGACATTTAAATTGAGAAGAATAAGAGATCCAATGGTTGTTAGTTCCCCCCATATGTTGCCTTTGTTGAGAAAATTAGACTATAGGCTTATTGTGGAAAGGGGAATGCAAAATTGTAAACAAGACTAGGTTATTTCTTTTGAGTTGAGGGCAAACGATAGGGGATAAAAGTGGATGATAGCTTCAAAGTAATCTTAATAAACCAATCATTTTGGTAGAACAAGGATGAAGAAAATCCTAAAGACAAGAATGTGTCCTGAGAAAACTTGACTCTCGTAGCTTAAGAAACAGTGTGCTTGCACCATAAACACATATTGCCTTTTTATATGTTTCTCATAATATGTGAAAATCTGTACATTTTGTTGATTGATAAGGTATTGCCATAGCATATCGAGTTGCTATGTTTTCTTCTGCTAAAATTTCAACTATCCAGAGTATAGGAGAGCTAGTAGGTTGTGACCTAGCAAAAAAAAAAAACTAGTAGGTTGTGGCTACTTAATTTGTTTAGCTGTGGCCAAATCAAACACTGATGTTTCACACTGTGTCTATAGACTGTTGGGTTTACAGTGTGTGTTGTGTATGTCTGTTTGTGTTAGTGTGTGGCTTGTGAGTGTGTGTTCTGTGTGTGTGTGTGTGTTTTTTTGGTCCCTGTTTGTGTGTAGTGTGTGTTATGTATGTCTGTGTGTGTTAGTGTATGTTTTGTGAGTGTGTGTGTGTTTTGTGTAACTGCTTTGTTTACTTGTATGTCTAATATACATTGATAGTGTTGTAATGCATGTTGGGTTGCATTTGTGAATTAGTAGTATGGTTATGTGTAGTGGTTGAGAAGTTGTTGCTATAATTGAAAAATTGTTGTAGATGGAAATAGGTAACGAACAAATGTCTGATGATGAGGTTGACCATGACAAAAATGTAGTCATATAGACGTCCAATAAGGAGACAATTTTCATTGACTTGATGGATAGGGAAGTAGTAGCGGGGCATAGACCAAATACTACTTTTGACAAAGTTGGGTGGAAAAATCTCGTAACAATCATGAGATAAAGCACAAGGTACAACTACACGTATGAACAACTATGGAGGAAGTTTAATAATTTGAGACCAGTTTATCATGCTCATAAGAAATTGTTGAATCAAACTAGAGTTGGTTGGGACCTCCATGAAGAAAACCATTGTCCTAGAGGCTGAGGTTTGGAAGGATTTGTGCATGGTAGGTTTTAGTATTGATTACTATCCATTTTTATTTTTTAACCACAATTTCAAATGGTTTTAGGTTAATAAGTATTGATTACCTTTCATTATTTTCATTTAATATAGATTAATAAGCATGCCAGACAATTCAAGAAAAAATGGTGTCCACATTATGAGAAGTTGTGCAGGATTTATGAAAAGATAACAATGACTGGTGATAATTCTCATCCATCCACCCAACCTTCATTGGACAATAAGGAAGATAAAGACCCTACATTTAATCTATCACTTGAGGTTGATGAGATTGAGGATAATGTGGAGAAAGGGACAAACAACCATCCTTGAAGTAGATCTACCACTCCAATAACTAGTCGTTGTAGGAAGAAGGATGACTATAGCCTAGCACTTACATCTTCCCTTAATGTGTTGGTTGAGAGGTCAAATAAGAAGGCAGAGTATATTGATCATAAGATGTCTAGTGCGTCTACGGTGACGACTTCATGTGGTGATAACGAGGCTATTACGCATAATGACAGTATGTTAGAAAAATGTGTGGCTGCTTTGAATTCTCTCGAGGACATTGATGCGGCTTCATACACAAAGGCCATTAAGATTTTTGGAGATGGTATGAGCTATAGGAAGATGTTNGCAAAAAAAAAAAACTAGTAGGTTGTGGCTACTTAATTTGTTTAGCTGTGGCCAAATCAAACACTGATGTTTCACACTGTGTCTATAGACTGTTGGGTTTACAGTGTGTGTTGTGTATGTCTGTTTGTGTTAGTGTGTGGCTTGTGAGTGTGTGTTCTGTGTGTGTGTGTGTGTTTTTTTGGTCCCTGTTTGTGTGTAGTGTGTGTTATGTATGTCTGTGTGTGTTAGTGTATGTTTTGTGAGTGTGTGTGTGTTTTGTGTAACTGCTTTGTTTACTTGTATGTCTAATATACATTGATAGTGTTGTAATGCATGTTGGGTTGCATTTGTGAATTAGTAGTATGGTTATGTGTAGTGGTTGAGAAGTTGTTGCTATAATTGAAAAATTGTTGTAGATGGAAATAGGTAACGAACAAATGTCTGATGATGAGGTTGACCATGACAAAAATGTAGTCATATAGACGTCCAATAAGGAGACAATTTTCATTGACTTGATGGATAGGGAAGTAGTAGCGGGGCATAGACCAAATACTACTTTTGACAAAGTTGGGTGGAAAAATCTCGTAACAATCATGAGATAAAGCACAAGGTACAACTACACGTATGAACAACTATGGAGGAAGTTTAATAATTTGAGACCAGTTTATCATGCTCATAAGAAATTGTTGAATCAAACTAGAGTTGGTTGGGACCTCCATGAAGAAAACCATTGTCCTAGAGGCTG